CAATCAGATTCTCTTCACCAAATTTATTTGTAGCATTTAGCACTTCATAATATGAAATCCTCTTGACAGTGATGGGGGAAGTAGACTGAGTTGGAAGAAGTGTATTTCTGCTATGACGTCTTATTAAATAAACAATAGTAATGGCCATACTCAATACAACAGCAATTGGTGGTAAAATGTACTTCAAAAATCTGGTATTGCTTGATAATCGGGTTGTATTACATGACTTGACCTTAAATTGAGATGCTCCACACAATTCTCCGTTGCCAATGAAAAAATCAGAGGTAAAGTTCTTAAAAGGTCCTCCATTTGGAATTTCACCCGTCAGTTCATTGAACGAAACATTGAAATACTCAAGGTCCTCAAGTTTCTCCAATGACTTGGGGATTACACCATCGAGTTTGTTCTTGGATAAATCCAACATTTTCAATGAAATCAGATTATCAAACGAATCAGGTATAGGACCATGTAATCGATTGTTTGATAATGTTAGATTTTCCAAACTTTGAAGTTGTCCTATTGTGCTAGGAATATCACCTGAGAATTGATTTCCTGATAGATATAATGCTCGCATGTTCTTCATGTTTCCAATTTCTGGAGCCAACGACCCATTCAGCAAATTATTAGCTAAACTCAACAATTGAATTTCCTTGTTAGTCCACATTGTGGATGGGATAGTGGAAGTCAATGAGTTGGAATTTAAATAAATTTCTTGTAAAGTGGTTAGATTTCCTAAACAAGTTGGTATCTATTGAGAAAGTCGATTTGACTCCAAAGATACAAGATACAGATGTTCCAAATTGCAAAGGCCAGTAGGTACTGGTCCCCGTAGTTTATTTTCCCCAAGACTCAGCCATTGCAATTTTCTTAATTGACCCAATGTGTCAGGAATTCTTCCTGTCAATTCATTGACTCCAATGTCTAACCAGAACAAGTTGCTCAGATTACCAATTTCATTTGGAATGATACCTCTAATATGGCACTGATAGGCAGAAAATTTTTCAAGATACGCTGACAAATTGCCCAAGGTTTTTGGTAATATTCCATCAAAGTAATTGTTTCCCAAATCTATCATCTTCAACTTTCTACAATTTTTCAATGAAATAAGAAAATCCAATTCGAGCATTGAAGGATCATTTGTCAACTGATTATCCCCAAAATCTAGAACCTGTAGGTTCTGTAAATTTCCAAGATTCATGGGTACTCGTCCACTAAAGGAGTTGTAACCAAGATCCAATTGAGTAAGCTTAGAAAAATTTGAAATAGAGACAGGGATTTCTCCACTCAATCGATTGCCAGAAAGATAGAGAAGTTCGAGATCAGGAAGCTCATTGGCAATTGACGATGGAAGATTGCCAGAGATACTATTTTCAGTAAGAGAAAGTATTTGTAACATGGAGAGATTGAAGATGGAATGAGGTATATGACCCTGAAGGCTGTTGATGGACAAACTTAACTCTTTTAAACTGGATAGACGTCCCAATTCTTGTGGGATGTTTCCATGAAGACCATTGGTGGACAAATATAACAATTCCAAACTTGATAGAAGTCCCAATTCTTGTGGGATACATCCATGAAGACTGTTGCGACTTATAGCCAATTCCTTCAGATTTGATAAATTACCAATTGAATGTGGAATTATACCTGTGTTATGGTGTTTGTCAACACACTCAAATTAATGAATTCCAAAAGTAATAATAAATAATAGATATGTTACCTGATAAGATATTCCGATGCAAATATAGATATTGAAGTGCTAATGCGTTCCCAATTTCATATGGAATGTTTCCTGTGAATACATTTTAGGACAAAAATTAAAATCCAAAATTAAAATGTTTAAAATTTCAAAAAGTTATTATCAAATATTAATACTCAAATTATGGAGATCAGTTAAATTTACTTAAAACATTTTATTCAATATACGTGGCTCTAATATATAATTTTAAAAAAAGAATGATTTTAGAATAACAAATGTATAAATTAATTTAGAATATTAAATTATTTAGTAAACAAGGTGATTAAGGGCAAAAGAAACAACATACGAGAATAAAGAATGAATCTAAATTCGCATTATTTCTTAAAATGGCTGCGAACTTAGCAAATAAATAATTAGTTAATTCGCAATCGAATATCAAATAATTAATCTATGTCAGACAAATCGTGGATTCTACATAAAACCCTTGAGGTCAAAAATCGTAAAAGAAAAACTCTCATACATTGCATAGTGTTTTAATCAAAATACTCCAAAGTACAAAGCTCATATTTGCAGCTAACGAAGAAACAACTAACCATTAATCTCAACTGGAATTGCATCCTAAGCCATTAACTAAATAATTTTTTTAAAAAAAATCAATTAATAATGAAAATATTATAAAATAGTGATTAAATGCTATAATGAGACTAGCTGCTAGCAGTGTCCATCTTTGTCCCAAGCTGATTGGGTACGTAGGATTCGATGTTATCATGATGTATTTCTAATAATTATTTGGAAAATGCACTACATGTTGAATCACATTTGTCAAAAAACAGTAAAATGCCTAGGTGATTCATTTAGCTCTTCCGACTTCCATCAGCATAAAATCTTTTTACATATGATACTTTTAATTTTAGAGTTTTAGTATAAATCTTTGTCAAAAGCATGTGAAATGTTTAGATGGTTATTTATTTGTAAAATACTATATGTTAGGTATTTAATGTAATTGACAATTTTGTGAATAAAAGGGACTTAAATTGATATGTTGTAAAAGTCAAGGAGTAATGTGCAAATAGTAGAAATTTGTGTTATATTATGTTTAGAGTTCGAGAATGGAAAAGAAGAAAAAATGGCACCGAAATGTGGTTAGCTTATCGCCAAAGTTTGGCTCAAGCGCCAGAAACAGAAACTGCGTCGTCCACCTGTCGCCTTGCTTTCGCTCGAGCGACGGTACTATCCAGGAATTTTTTAATTCATTTTTTAAAGACTTTTTGTCCGGTCCATTCATTCGCTAACCTACATATAAATATCCAAATGCCACAGAACGATTTTTCCAAGGGTTGATCATTAAGAAAACACTTAGCTTTTCATGTTCTTTTCCCTTACTCTTCAACCTTCGTTAATCGCATAGTGATATGTTCTTGGCGGTGAGAAAAAAATCAGATTCATAATTCAAATACCAAACTACTGCTTCCTTCACATCGTCAAAGTTTCTGAAGATCAATGAAAGGTGATTGGAGTTTCAGTTGTTGAAGTACTTGGTGTTCTTCGTGCATCCACAGGAGGTAGACGATTTCACAAATGTAGGAGTTGCTGCAAGAGAGCGCAATCCAAGAAAGTTTTGGAAACTGCAGCTGAGAGTTGGTGCGAGCACAGAATCCAGAAAAGTTGTTGGGATTACAGTCAAGATATCAAATAGTACGTGTCGTCGTCTAGCGGTAGACTGTAAGTTACAAATCGTTTATAGTGGACTGTTGACTGGCAAAGTGCCTGAAGTTTTTACTCAGTTGGGTTTCTCCGTGATCAACTCTGTGTTATTTATTGCTTTCATAATTGCGGTAATTCAANATTGCTTTCATAATTGCGGTAATTCAACATAAGAAAATATGAATTGCATGATTAACCATCTAGAAAATGATTAATAGTGATTTGTTACTATTTAATTGTAAAGTAATTATAATCTTATTCACATATTCATCTCCCTCTAGGTGTTGTTAGGGTCGAACTACGTATTTTCACTATACAATTATTACGCTTTTTTGTGCCTAACCCCTTTTTGCTTGTAAAAGCTTGAACCTTGGCCTTGACGTTATGTTTTTTAGAACACTGAGTGTAATATATAAAACCTATTTTTGGGATCCATTTTTCCAAAACACATTTTTTAATATTTATTTTCAAACACACATTTTTCCATAAAATAATTGTACGCATAATAGAAAACAAAATTCTGATTTTTTAATCGCACATTCTTAAAAAAAAAAAAAAAAGTCACTATTCCGAAATATATTTTTAATCAAAAATGGGGCTCAAACAAGGGCAAAATAAGTTTTAATCTGATTATGTACAACTGAAAGTGTTGGTCTCCATATCTAGATATGCAAGTATTGATAGGTTTCCAATTTCATTTGGAATATTTTGCGTCAATCTGTTTAAACATATATTTTTTAAAATCAAACGTTTAATTAATTCAAAATAGATCCAATGAAAGGGTAAAACAACCAACTAATTTGAAGTTGATAATTAAGTACCTATACATTTATTGTTGCATGATGTATATAATTATTTGGAAAATGCAATACATGTGGAAAAACATTTGTCAAAAGAGTGTAAAATGACTAGGTGCTAACCTGAAGTTCATTTAGATTTGCTGTCAACATAAAAATATTTTTTATATATGACAATTTTGAATTTTGAGTTTTAGTATAAATCTTTGTTGGATACTAAATAAACAAATTTAAAAAATATTTAATTAGTGTTCTAAAAATTACGTGTAAGCATGAAGGTGGACGTTGCTGCCAAGTCACTTCGTTAGGATAAATTTTTGAAGATACCTATTAATATATTCGAATACAAATAAATATCGAAGTACTAATGAGTTTCCAATTTCGTATGGAATGCTTCATGCGAATATATATTAGGATATTTAAAATTGAAACCCGAGAGTCAAATACTTAAAAGTTCAAAAAGTTATTGTTAGAATTTGGGTGTGACCCAAATTCCTTATTGAAATAATTGAAGAATTATAACTAAAGTGCACGTCAAGAGGAATTTAGTTTGAAATGCTATTGGCGTCTTATTAAGATGAAATTCTATTTGGAAGCTATTGGGAATTGGAATTTGTATTGAACTTAAAGAGGTTGAAATTATGGACCAAGAAGAAAAGTCGACGCATTTTTGCTAGTTGGCCGCTCAAGCAACACTTGCAGATTTTCTCTCGAGACTTGGCCGCTCGCCTATCGCCTTCTTGTCACTCGAGCGACATGATTACTAGCTTTTAGGATCATTGTAATATTTTTCCATCTTCACTATTTGTGGTGCAATAAAATTTCCTAATTCCCCTTCCATATTTTCATCTTCTTTTATTCTTTTACTTGTGATCAAATACTTCATTATTCTGCTATATAACTTCAACATTTCAATTTGATTGTTGGTTTCATATTAAGTGGTATCGACCAATATGTGATCCTTTAATTTCCAACAATTGCTATCAGAGATTTTGGGCAAAATTAACACAACAAGTGGTATTAGAGCATAGATTCAGCAGTTCCGCATGAGCGCAATGTTTGATTTGTTCGAGGTTTTTGTTCGTAATGGTTTCCATGAAGTACGACATTCCGCTTTTGGATCAGAGCACTAGATTTTCGCTATGACAGTTTAAGATGCGTACAATACTCGCACAATAAGATTTGAATGAAGCATTGTTGGGAATTGACAAGATGCCTGTAACTTTGACCGTGGAGGAGAAATTACGGAAGGATAAGAAGGAAGTTTCTCACATTCATCTTCATCTATCGAATACCATTCTTCAGGACGTTTTGAAGGAGGGTTCAACAGCTACTTTATAGTTGAAGTTGAAGCAATTGTGCATGACTAAAAGTCTGACAAGCAAGTTACGTTTCAAGTAGCATTTATACTCTCATCGAATGGCAGAAGAAGGGTCATTGGAAGATCACCTGATTGTATTTAAGGAAATAGTCGCTGATTTAGAAACTTTGAAAGTAAAGTATGATGAAGAAGATTTAGTCTTAATCATATTGTGTTTGTTGTCTGCTTCTTTTTTTTCATTTAGAGACACGATTTTGTGTAGTCGTTATATTCTTATCATAGATGAGGTGTATGATGTTTTGTTTTCAAAAGAGAAGATGAAGCATCTGGTGTCTAAGGCCAGAGATAGAGAAGGCCTTGTTGCTCATGTGGTTCTAGAAGGGGCAGATCGAAGTCTAAGTTCAGTAATTAGATTTGTAACTTCTGGAAAAAGAAGGGGCGCATGAAGAAGGATTGCTACAAATTGTAAAATAAAGAAAGGTTGGCTGCAAGTCGATATGGGAAGCAATCAGAGACTTTAGGTGAAACAGATATCGCAGAGAACATTGTAAATGAGGGAGATCTCTTGGCTATTTCTGACATCGAGTCTAACGTAGAGGAGGAGTGGATTCTGGATTCAGCGTGTGTGTTTCGTATGTGTCCTAATAAGGACTTGTTTACTACATATGAAACTGTTTCCAAAGGTTTCTGGTTATGAGAAAAAATCGGGTTACTGGAATTGGTACGGTCATATTAAAGCTATTGGATTGAACAATTAGCACACTTGGGCATGTTCGACATATTCCGGATTTAAAGAAGAATCTTATCTTGTTGTCTATCTTTGATTCAAAGGGTTATGAGTTCTTTGGTGGAGATGTAGGTGGAGGTTTAAAGGTTTG